TGGAGATGGAGTCACTTCCTGTCTCACACAAGCAGCTTTTCATCTTCATCTCTTCACAACCTGGAACTGAAGACGTTTTATCTCCTTAGTCGATAATAAACTCAATATTTCAGATAAACAGGAAGCTGCTCCCTCTGGGATTTTTACCCTCAACCTCTAAACGTCGATGCCTTGCTTTGCTGCCTGAATTAAACTTTGACCTGCAGAGAGGAAGCACACACACAGTGAGGCTGTGTAGCCTGAAGCAGGACTGAAGCCCCTGAAGGAAACAAGCTGCTGTTTGAATGTGAATCAGCTGCTGCAGAGTCTCAGCTTCCTGTTTGTGCAGCAGCATCGTCCATCAACTCGTCACAGCCAATCTGACGTGAGAGCGACCCGACTCATGAGGTCGTCTCTTCATGTCTACACTCGTTCGTTAACGGAAACTGTGACTCAACATGTTCGACGTCATTAAACAATAACTGTGACGATACCAACATGTTTAATCTCTTTATTTTCATCGACAAAATATTATAGACTTTTTATTTTCAGTGCAGCAGTTGTTTCCATCAGAACACAACCTCCGGTTCTTTAAGTTCTTCAAAGCTTCAAGTGTTAAAGCTGCATTCTCTCTAGTGTCCACCAGGGGGCGACTCCTCTGGTTGTATAGAAGTCTATGAGAAAATGACTCTACTTCTCTCTTGATTTATTACCTCAGTAAACATTGTAAACATGAGTTTATGGTCTCAATCTCTAGTTTCAGGTCTTCTTCAATACAGCATGATGTTCATTTAGTACATTATGGTCCATTTAGAGTCAAACAGACCATAAAGCAGGGGATGCTTTAGGGCGGGGCTACACGGTGATTGACAGGTCTCTACCAGAGACGTACACGGCGTCTCTACGTCACTCCTCAGTCCAGATATGGTCACTTCCTGTTCACTGGTTGCAAAAAAACAAGATGGCGACGGCCAAAAACTGCAAACTCGAGGCTTCAAAACGTCCACAAACAAATGAGCGACAAAGATTATGTCCACTTCTTATATTCAGTTTTTGTTTTCAATATCAGTCTACAGCGAAAGCACACAGTGGAGACGGAGAACTACATTTCTCGTCTCCCACAATGCACCTCACCAACTAGGCCGTTAGCTTGGCTAGCTAGCTAGCTGGTGTAGTTTTAGTATATCCTGTGACAACCTTTTACAACTTAACGCCAACCAGACAAGTTAACGGTGAATCTAAGGGAACGTATTTGTCTTTTTACCTTCAGACTGAATTATAAACCTGGAAAAACTCTAACTTTTACTGCTCCTGATTTTCAAAAACAACAGACTAAACCTTTATTAAATCCTCTGATGTTCTGCTAACAGTGACACTGAGTTGTTTTTGTACAACAGCTGTTACATATTTCCACCATTGGAGGTTTTCTCTCTCTCTCTCTCTCTCTCTCTCTCTCTCTCTCTCTTGCCCACTCTCCCTCCTCTTCCTCTCTCCTCCGCCTCCAGAAACAGAAACATTATGAAACTGTACATGTACTCAAGTACTAACATCAGGTACTTGTACTTCACTTGAGTCTTGTCTTCTTCATACTTCTACATCATTTATCAAGAGTTTACATATTGAAAATGATAATAAGAGAGTTTTATTTTTAATTATTTAACTACATATTATACAATCGATGAATGGAGAAAACAATCAATAGTTGTAACTGTTGGTGAATTTAGACAAAAGAGTAAAATAGATGTTATAGAAGGAAATTAACAATGAAAAACAATGTTTTTTCTTCTAGTGTCTCTCTTTATATACATTTTACTAATTATACTTACATATTTTTATTAAAGCAACATTTTCAATGCAGGACTTTTACTTGTAGTGGAGTATTTTTACAGTGTGGTTTTAGTACATTTACTGCAGTAAAGGATCTGAATACTTCATCCACCGCTGAAAGAGAGACGGAAAACAACAGATACATCATTTATATAACGTAAAATCAATCACAAAAACATTTTAACACCAGTCGTCCACTTCCTGTTTCCCACCAATGTTAAATGTGACGACGCAGACGTTTTCAACCAAATCCACCATGTTTCTCTAAACTTATCATAGAGGTCTCACAACATAAAAGACTCTAAACTAAAAGACATAATACATCATCTATCATGTGTCAAACCTGCATTCTCTCTAGTGTCCACCAGGGGGCGACTCCTCTGGTTGTATAGAAGTCTATGAGAAAATGACTCTACTTCTCTCTTGATTTATTACCTCAGTAAACATTGTAAACATGAGTTTATGGTCTCAATCTCTAGTTTCAGGTCTTCTTCAATACAGCATGATGTTCATTTAGTACATTATGGTCCATTTAGAGTCAAACAGACCATAAAGCAGGGGATGCTTTAGGGCGGGGCTACACGCTGATTGACAGGTCTCTACCAGAGACGTACAATGCGTCTCTGCGGCTCCAAAACGTCCACAAACAAATGAGAGATGACTACGTCCACTTCTTATATTCAGTCTGTGGTACACACACACACACACACACACACACACACACACACACACACACATTCATGTTTAGAACACTTCAGAGGACACGACATTGACTTGCTTTCATTTCCTGAAGAGACTTACCTTCACCATGACGTTAAGTCTTCACCTTAAAAGCTAATTATTATGTTATGAAGACGGGCATTTTGTCCCCACAATGTGGCTGTGTGATCAGATTAATGTCCCCACAACCTGAGTAACACACACACACAGACACACACACACACACACACACACAGTGTGTGTTGGGTCAGCTCTCAGCCAGACTGTTCTTGCAGCTGCAGCGACATGTTTTTCTCAGAAAGACGGCAACAGGTTGAAACAGAGATTAGATGGTGTGTGTGTGTGTGTGTGTGTGTGTGTGTGTGTGTGTGTGTGTGTGCTGCGGTTGCCACGGTTACCGAGGTCTCTCTCTGTGGATGCTGGCAGCCGTCACCATGGCGACACTGCGCCTGACATAACTGCATCATCTATCAAGACACGACCGTCCGCATTTACGACAATGTCATACTGTCAATATCAGAGAGTCAGCGTCCAAATAAACGAGGCGCCAGCGAACGCATCATGAGCTGCAGTTCCTCTGACGTCCACCAGATGAGATCATATTTAAGTCCCGCCCCCTTTAGAAACGCATGTTATCTGATCCTGTTTGAATTGTGCCATGAATCACACAGATGAAGTTTTTACATTTAAAAGTTAATGTCTCAAGTTAAGAAAGTCTGATCACTGAACTACAGCCATTAGTTTAGCTTAGCTTAGCTTGCTAGCTGGCTAGCGAATTTAGCTATGTTCCTAATGTGACGTTTTCTTACCTGATGTGTTTTTATGGGTTTATGTGTGTGTTCAGGTGTGTGTTCAGCTGGTGTGTGTGCTCAGCTGTGTGTCTTCAGGTGTGTGTGTCTTCAGGTGTGTGTTCAGGTGTGTGTGATGAATCGGCTCAAAATGACTTCCAATTAGTCTTCAATTAATCAGTTTTCAGAGATTAATTTCTCTCCACACAGAAACGTACCAGCTGCATGATTTTTAAGCTTTTTCTGCAGAACCTCAGGAAGTGAAGCTGAACAGAATAAAGATGAAGAACAAGAGCAGTGGTGAAATATTAAAGAGGGAGGAGAGAGTTTAACTCAGCAAAGACCTCGGAGTAATGTGATTACATTTCCCCAGATTTAAAACACAACGACTACATGAAGATTATATCAGGAATCAGATGATAATCTGGATAATCAGCTTCATTTATCTATTTGTTTCAGTTGTTGATGATTTGACTTAAGGCGACGCCCATTTCTAAATTCTGATTAATAAGCTCTTGTCAACGTTTGAATTCGTCCGTTCCTCACAACGTGATTGGTTGATGCCTTTATTCGCCGTGCAAAAGCTCCAAAAACTGAGCAGCCACACAACATTATTTTTAGGAGTTTCCATTTTAGCGTCAGAATGTTCAGTGAAAGTCTCAACGACACAAAATAAGACAGTCATTCTTTATGTTCAGGTGTGTGTACAGGTGTGTGTTTAGGTGTGTGTACAGGTGCGTGTACAGGTGCGTGTACAGGTGTGTGTTTAGGTGTGTGTACAGGTGCGTGTACAGGTGCGTGTACAGGTGCGTGTACAGGTGCGTGTACAGGTGTGTGTTTAGGTGTGTGTACAGGTGCGTGTACAGGTGCGTGTACAGGTGCGTGTACAGGTGCGTGTTTAGGTGTGTGTACAGGTGCGTGTACAAGTGCGTGTACAGGTGCGTGTTTAGGTGTGTGTTCATGTCGTCCATGAAAAAGATTCTGTTCCTCGTCGTCACGGTTTAAATGTTGATCTGATTCTGGAGGCAAAAGTTTCACATCAAAGCAGAACTTTGACTTTGATCAGCGTTCAGGTTCTGAACCCAGAAAGAGACAAAGACTGAAAAACAAAACAAAACCATTTAACGCCAGTTGACTTTGGCTTTTAATCTCCATGTGGGAAGAAAATGAAGAACTTCTTTCTTTGTTTCCAGAGCGACATGTGTAAAACAGAACGACGGCCACAGACTTCTGGAGAGAGAACAAGTTCAAAACAATCTGAGGACATTTAGTGAAGAAACGTCTTCATGGAGACAAAGATATCTCAAGAACAACATTTAGTCCACGACACGCTCTCTTGATTTAGGTCAGATTGTCACGATGTTTGTGGTGAGATTAGCTCCAACACGATGTAAATAATCCACAGGCCTAACCTCACCTTAAACCTAACTAAGTATTTTATCATCTATTTTTAACCCTAAGTATTTTTTTCTTTTATAAAAAAGTGCATATCATATCATGCTAACATATATTAACCATTGTATAACGATTCGTTGCAAAGTTAGTCTTATTCATACAGTATATAATGAGAGGGAAATGGCCCTCTGTTTCACTAATTATCTATCTATTAATCTAAGTTTCATGGATGGTTATTGTTGAGCAAACAACACATTTAAGTTTGATAAACAACGTTTATTTTCTCTGCAGAAGAAGAAGAAGAATGTCTCTGGTTGGACAGAAGAAGCCGATCCTTTAAACGTCCGTCGTAACATGGCCGACGACCTCTACAGCAGCACCTTCTCTGCTTCTGAATCAGACTTCTCCTCTTCCTCTTCCTCTTCCTCCTCCTCCTCTTCTTCCGCGGCCACCTCCTTCCTCACGCTTGAGCAGCGAGCGGCCTTCATCTTCGTCCTCATCCTCTTCATCTTCCTGGGCCTGCTGATCGTGCGCTGCTTCCGGATCCTCCTGGACCCGTATCGCAGCATGCCGTCCTCCACCTGGACCGACTACATGGAGAAGGACACCTTCGACTACCGGATTTCCTGACAGGCAGCCTGAGAGGCGGCGACCCCGATGACCGACACGGTTGAGCTGAGGCGACGATCACGCTGACGGAGCAAAAGCAGAGGCACAAGCGCACAATCCCCCTCTCTGGTGGTCGCTACAGGCGAGCGACCAGACCAGCAGACAGCATGATTGGGAAGTTACTCCCAAGTTTAAAAAACGTGGTTTTATTCTTCAGAACAAGTTTCTCTTTACGAGTATCCACGACAAAATCAAGCTAAGACTTTCAACTCGACTTAAACACTGAGGATTAAGGAATCATATTACGGCCGTGAAGTTCTTAATATTCTAGAAATTATCGTAAAAATCATAATTTTTCAGTCCTACAGAAGCCAGTGACGTTGCTCCGATCAACAAAATCGTACATCGATAACTCGAAATAATAGATTGTTTGATTCGAGAGCATCAAATCAAACCTGAAGCTTGAAAAACCTGCTTCAAATATCTAAAAATAATCAAAGTGTTTCAAATGTAAACAGTCAAAGCTTCAGTTAAACTGTTGGTAAAAGAAGATAAGATAATATTAGCTACCAGCTAGCATTAAGCTGTTAAGCCTTAAAATTGATGAACAGTCAACACAGCGTAAAAAATAAGAACAGATTTATCCGACATTAAATTTCCTAAATTAATTGATTATTAGTAAAGTTAGCCTGATGTTTCTTTGACTTGACTAAACTTTAACATTAAAATCAAATTGAATCATCACAATGAGTCGGTTCTGGAAAAGCAACTGTTTGGGGGGAAAAGTGTGCCTTGTGTGTTTTGTTTTTTTTTCTGCTTCCTGTCTGATTGTCGCCTCAGTCCGCCCGGCAGGCAGGACATCTGGCAAAGACAAACCACAGCTTCTATAAACAGAGTTTGAATCGCTTTTGAATGAAAGAATTTAACCACAATTACTCGTTAAGATGTGAAGAGATAATCAAAGACGAACTTCATTTTAAATGACGTTTCACAAAAGCAGATTTTAAGCATCACGCTGATGACAAACAGCGACGTCATCGTGTTTCACAAAATATCGGCGCCACAAATTCCAGTCCAGCAGAGCTCGTCTTTTGACGACTGAAATATGTCACAGCAAACGAAATCATGAGACAAATGGAATCAAAAATATTAATTAATGGATACTTGGGTCAATTTGAACAATCTTTGTTTGTAAAATCAACTTCCTGTTTGTGGCTGTGAGTTTTGCCCAGATTTGAAGTTTGTAGGTTTCCCTCCTCTCTGACAGCAGCAATGCAGTGAGAAGTGCATATATATATATATATATATATATAT